CACGTTACGCATTGTTCAGCGACCTAAAAAATAATGTCAGACTTCCAAATTTGAAGGATAGTGGACAACGCATTTTTGCGTGCCCTTAAATTAGTGTCTCAAGAAAAAAAAACCACGGAGGGCGCTTTGTTAAACGTGCGTCTTCTGTAGGTGTCGCTTTATAATTTTAGTGAAACACGCCTTGAAAAGATAAAGGGGGAAAACGAAACCCTAAAAATTTTGAAAACCCGCCATTTTTTTCTACCTTCTTTTCTTCATCTTCACAATCGACTCTCCCCTTTTGTTTCTCTATGTGAGAAGTGACAAAAAGAAGGGAGACTAGGATGGATCTGCCGGTGATGATGAATGAAGGTGCTTTCCGTTCAATTTCGGAGATGGCATTGTCGATTTTCGATGGTTGTTTCCCTCTTCCCTAATCACGTCGTCGCCGAGAATCACTCACCGCCAGGCAGTAGAAGAAGATGATGAAGTTTGTCGTTGTCGTATGCCGCCCTCCCTCGCTGTCTCTAACTATCTTTGCCCTTTCTTTATTCTTCGCTTCGATGATCGTCTCATCTTCCTTCATCTTCTCGGTTTTCCATCAGGTAATATTCGGGTTCGCTCGTGATGCTGAACTTCATAAAAGAGTTCTTCTCCGGTCTTAGCATCTTCCCGGTAGCTAACTTCTATCATCGCTTGGGATCGATCTCAGCCTCCTATTCATTCCTCTACAGCCTTACATGTAAGTCCACACCACACTTGTTCTTATCTTGTTCTGGAAAATCAAGAAACATTCGAAAAACCTTAGGGTTTCACTTCTTATCATCGGTGAGGTTGCGTTTCTTCTTATCAGTACTAGGGTCTCGTTTCTTTTCATGGGTGACGCCTCGTTTCTTCTTATCAGTATCGGATTTCTTCTTGGCTGAGGGCCAGATTGATGAGAAATTATTAATGCCCTTAAACTGTTCGACAAATTGCTTATCATTTTGTGTGCGTCTATCTGTCTAAGAATTAAAAAATACGCATACACAATTAGACACTATCCTAATTTCATAACTTTGACTGATTTCCTATCCTAATCTGATAATCTCTCTACTTTCTGAAACACGAAAGATCTCTTTCAGGTCTTGGAACCAAACGGGCCAGCTTAATTGGGCTTGGAAAAGCCCCAATAACTTCATCTTCTTCCATTTCTGCTTATCGAAGTCTTGGTGAATCTGTTGCTTCATCTGCTAAAACTTCTCAAGCTAACAATGTCGTTGTTGCTCTTGCTTCTTCACAAGACTTAACTCTTGAATTGAAGCTTACAACTGCCTCAACAATAGTAACTGGTATATTCATTCAATATTCCATTCAAGAAATAACTACCTGAATGCTCAAATTTTGATCTAAGTATTGCTTACAGATTCATACTATACTAAGATGATTATGGTGAGATATAAAATAGTTTTTTTGGTCATATTAAGGTTATTAAAGAAGTTAGCACAATCTTTTTTTCTAGAGAATTATAGTCTTATCTTTTTTTTTAATTGTTTGGTTGCAACAGTGCTTATACAGCAGCACAAGCTTCTGTTAATAAGGCTTGAAGATGCCTTTAGAAATAGCAAAGATAGCCATTTGAAGGATTTTACCTCCAAAAATCCTTATACAACAGCACAAGCTTCTGTTAATAAGTCTTCTCCTGAGATGCCTTCATCTTCTAACAACTCAAATCACAATGTTCAACAAGCCAATGGCTCAACATACACAGAGCATGTTTGCTCAGGGGTAATTTTGGGAAAAGATCTTTTAAATGCACCTCGCAATGTACTTACCCCTGGTTCGTTATCCTTCTCATTTTCAATTGTTGATAGAGACATAGAGTTAAAATATAGTTTTTCATTTTTCTTTTTTAATAATTGTAACAGGGTATTAGCGGAAGAAGCTGAAAAGATTGCTTCAACAATTGATTGTGATAAGTTATCTGATATAGGGTTTGGGACAACAGATTGTTTGGGACATGTTGCCCTTGTAACCGAGCTCATGAAGAAGACAAAGCCAAAACTTAAATCCAGTGTGGTTGCTGTTTTCATAGCCAGTGGAGACATATTTGGAATTCTTCTTCCAGTTAGTGTGTCTGGCAGTGGTGGTTGGAAGAGTGTTGGTCTCTCCTTTGGGAACTTCCTGACTTTTTGTTTCTGAAGTTCCCAAAAAATAGTAGATTTGGAGGGTTTGAGTGTCTCCATAATGGAATGTTAATAAGAGTCTTGGATGAGTCCATCGTCAGCAGCAAACACAAAGTCCTTTTCCATGTCTTGAGCAGATTCCATACCAGTCTTTGTGAATTGGTCCAAAGACTTCTCACAATGGATGGCAAGCTCAATGAGTTTATCCGTGGTCTGGACCCTCTCTTCCTCTTCCCTCTTTTGTTGCTCCTCATGCAACATTCCCACTAATTCCTTTCGCTCCTCTTCTTTCTTTTCCTCAGCCTCTCTTAATTCACTAAGAACCAGTTGCAATTGCTTGGTGGCAATTTGTTCGTTCTCAGAAGCGTTCTTCTCCAGCCCTTGTATAATTTCATCATTGTTTATTAGAGCTTTGTTTTTCTCTCTTTCCTTTTTCTCTCTCTTCTTCTCAACCTTTAGCTCATTCTCTTTCCTTTTACTCTCTTTCACAACCCTCTGAATAAGCTCTTTTCTAACCCTTCTCCCTTCTTCCTGTTCCACAGCTTTCAATTTCATCAATTCTTCTTTTGTCTTCTCATCTCTCAGTCTCTTCTCTTTTAACATTTCCTCTTTCTCCTCTCTTTGACTTTGCCTCTCCTGGTCATCTCGTGTTTCCCTCATTGGAGCATCAGACTCTTGGCCTGGGATATGTGAGTGTGTCCCTGGGAGCTGCTCATGACTTTTTTCGACACCCACATCTTCCTTTTGAGAGGAAGGGGGTTGTGTATGTGTTATATTCCAATGTTTTTGCGAGACATCATCTTCTTTAAAGGATGAAGAGGTAGATGATTGTTTGGGACATGTTGCCCTTGTAACCGAGCTCATGAGGAAGACAAAGCCAAAACTTAAATCTAGTGTGGTTGCTGTGTACAAGAATGTGGTGTGAGATAAACTCAACATCTCTATTGCTGTCATGTGACAACTATTACTACTGGCCAGTATCAGAAGATATAATGTTCTTTCTTTGGTCAAATTTATCGTTTGATTAAGAAATCACGATTCCACATAAAACTCTTATTAAACAAACAAATAATCCTTTTTTATCTATATCTAACTAGTTACTTTATGAGATACAAAATAGTAAACAAATAATCCTTTTTATCTATATCTAACTAAAGCTTTTTTTGGCCTTCCATCCAATAAGTTCTTAAAGGAATCAGTTTATACTTTTGATTTTCATAACAATTTTAGTCTCTATCGTAGTCCCAAGTAAAATGACTTAATTGCCCTTCATATAGTCAGTCTGACTTTTACCTCCAACTTTAAATCTTTTTCTGTTTTGCTAACAACTCATTTGCAATGGTCATAAACTGATTGAAAATCATTTAGAGCAAAAAAAGGTGTCGTCTATTGTTTAGTTTTCCATGTTAAAAGATTTTTGCAAGTATTGCTTTTTTTAAATCTTTGTCAGAAGACGATGTGACATCTCTTTTGATCAAAGATGCCAAAAGTGTAAAGCTTTGGTCTCCTAAAATGTGTCTGGTCATCAGATTATAGTCGTTGAATGAAAGTAGAGGTATGATCTTTCCTCTCTAAAACTGTAACATAACTTTATTTCTTTTGTGTGGGTTATTATTCTTTATCAGTGTATATATGGTATGTTTCAATAATCCTTATCTAGAATCAGGTTTTGCAGATGTTAAGTGGCTAAAGTCAAACAAGATGGGTATTATAGTTCTTATTTCTTTCTATTAAAAGATATATAGGAGTAGTTTGTCCCATCTCATTTAATGTTATTCTTCGGAAATCCACTGATGAGGCTCCAACTGATCCTGTATCAGACCCAATTGAAGGTAGAAGCAATAATAATTATTATTTTCAACAGTTTCTTCAGGCTATACAAACCCTAAAATATTGACAATTGAAGGTGGAAGCAATGGTGGCCTACTTGTTGGAGCTTGCATTAATCAGGTATTATGCTAATTCAATAATATTAAAATCTTTAATAAGTTATTCCTAAAAGTTGATTTTTTTTGTTATGACAGAGGCCTGATTTATTTGGGTGTGCACTTGCTCATGTTGGCGTAATGGACATGCTCAGGTTTCACGAGTTCATAATCGGCGAGTAATCTTTTTTTTTAACTAATTTAGTTAAAATTACAATTGTACCCTTGTGACATGGTTTTTCATTTCTTTTTTTGGTAGGTCATGCGTGGACTTTTGACTATGGTTGTTCAGACAAAGAAGAAGAGTTCCAATGGTTGATCAAGTGAGACTAACATTATCTTATCCTGATTAAATTCTCAATTTTTATTCAAAATATTAATTAGTTATTTACTAATAATAACTTTAAAAAAAACATTTTCATCAGGTATTCGCCACTGCATAATGTGAAAAGACCATGGGAGCAATCTTCTATAATTCCCGACAATACCCCACAACTTTATTGTTAACAGTTAATCATGATGACAGAGTTGTGCTGTTGCACACTATGAAATTATTAGCTGTAAGTATTTCATTTGAATTGTGTTTAATTTAATTAAAAGAGTATTTGTTTATTATATTTGTTTTATGTTAGACGATGCAATATGTGTTGTGACAAAGATACTGAATTATTGATATTTGTAGGTATGAGCCTCTAGGGTATATGCTTGGGTCAGAATATTTCTTCATATGTTGCACGCTTATGGTCCAATTTATGCTCTCTCTGCAGATGTTGCGAGCTTGGTTGCTCTTAGAAACAACAGGCAATTTATTCACATTTTCACTTACCATATTCATATTTGTAGTATAAGATATCTTTGTGTTACTGTTTTATTAAAATATTCTATCTATCAGTTTCCGGATGTTCAGCAATGAGGATGTTACTATCGGTGCATGGATGCTTGCAATGAATGTCAACCATGAGGAAAATCATCAACTTTGTCAAACCGAATGTACACCAACATCTATAGCTGTGTGGGATCTCCCCAAGTGTTTAGGTTAGTATTTTTTTTCTCCTAAACAATCTTCTTTAACTTTTTGAGAAATCCAACTTAGATTTGATGTGTGTGATGAATATTTGATGTTGTAGGGCTTTGTAACTTTTTCTCTTAAACCTACCTTATATGTTGACCTGTAGCTGATTACACATTAATTTAATTATGCAGGTTTTGAAATTTTTCATGGAAAAGAATAATGTTAATGCTCTTCATAGAAAAGTATGCTTGGTATTTTAGGAAATTTGGCTAATAATTTAGTTAATTATATAAAAAATGTTGAAATGTTACATTTGTCTACTATTGGAATGATTATTTGATGCTATTGGAATGATTATTTGTATGACATTAACTTTTGTGCAATGTACTGTATTTTTTGTATATGGATTTTTATTTTCTATTATGAGACATGAAATTCAAATTTAATTTGAAAACCAGTAAATCTATAAATAAATTTTTTTTTTTAAAAATTAAAATTACGATACGCAAAAATGTGTGTCGTCTTCATTTATGACATGGCCTTTCTTGACAGGGGCTTCCTTGATACGCATTGCGTGTCATAAACACGCGCGTCGTAAGGTTACGACACGCAAATGCGTGTCGTCTTCCTTTATGACAGGGCCTTCCTTGATACGCATTGCGTGTCATAACCGTGCGTCGTAAATGCGCGTCATAAATGCGCGTCGTAAAAGCGCGTCGTCTATAGACGACGCGCAAAAGCGCGTTGTCTCTCTTTATGACAGGGCCTTCCTTGACGCGCATTTGCGCGTCGTCTGAGCGTTTTACGACGCGCAATGAGCGTCGTAAAAGGCTTTTTTTTCTAGTAGTGATCAATCAAAATTGGATAATAACAACAATATCTTTTTAGATAACATGAGATAAGTTGTATTCGTAAGAAGATATCACTAGAGTGATAGAGTTGATGGGTTTTGAGCATTCTAACACTTCCTAAGTGTACATGCAACCCTAATAACCTTGGATCTATGTTTGTCTAATTATCATGCAAAGTTGAATTCCAAGGCTATATTCCTATCTAGCATACATGGGGAACAATTTTAACTTGAATGATAGATAGAATAACTTACCTTGTTGTTGCTTGTGTTCCTTGAAACCTTATGAGCCTAGCACCCCAAGTGTGATGCCTCAAATGCTTCACACAACACCAAATGCTCTTGGAAAAACTTATGAGAGAATGCACACTTCTTGAAATCGGCCAAGCCCTCTTGTTTCCTTAGTGTAGCCGATTTTGGTGGAGAATGAGATCTTTATATAGTGTTGACACATCTAGGGTTACACCATGTAAACCCTAATGTGTCATGACTCTTCATTTCCATGACCCATGGGTTTGTAACTCCCATGGAGCATCCTATGGGTGGAACCCAACTTGATAATCCATGGAGCCTCTTAGCCCACTATACAAGATATGGATGATTTACATAATCAACCCATATATTTAATTAGTTATCTTTTGATCACTTAATTAATTCTAAATTAATTCTTGATCAAACTAATCAAATAATATTATTAATATATTAGAACTTATAATATATTAATAATCTCCAAGTGTTATTTCTCTCATTTAGTCTATCCAATTGCATGGTGCCATGCAACCCAAATGGACCATGCCGGGTCGGGTCAAGTACATACCAGAAATAGTTATGGACTTAGACACCTTATCCAACAGTCTCCCACTTGGATAAGTCTAATAACTATTACTGCAAGTATGACTTCAGGAACCGATCGGCAATCGTAGCTCTTTTCAAGGTTTCTCGGAACTGAGAAGATGATGGTACGCCATTTAAGATAAGTGATCATATAATCCTCTGTTCTAGATATCAGTCGGACAAATACATGGAACAATGTCTTACTTATTGTCCAACAGTTTGTTTCCCGATTTCCGATTTGTTTGACAAAGAACTTAATTGAACACATCAACTTAGTTCTGACCGGGCCCGGTACATAGGTCAAAACAAAATCATCGAGGGGCCCAGATATCAGCTTCTAATCCAAGAAGGAACAGATAAACTTCGACTCATATGTTTGTTCTACCACTCATTGAATTACACACAAGAGCACGATTTATAACATCGAGTTACCAATGCGTTTTCGTACAATCAATGCATAACCAACTTGTAAGTAACAAATCATATCTCTAGGTTTGAAGACTTATATGATATTACCGTCTCACGATCACTCGAGATAGAATTCCATGAAGTGATTCCAGTGAGCGTGGGTTGAGTCCAATGCTCAGAACTTATGAGCACTCATGATTGTTGTAGCCTTGTCTAACACCTTAGACCTCTGCAACCAATCATGACAGTCTTGATTCATACCTACTTCCGACATATGACCGACTGTGGAGGTTTGAATAATATGTTATACCAAACAAAATTATTCTGGAAGTCAAAACATGCAAAAGAAATATAGTAAACGATTGACAAGAGATAGCAACACTTTACTCATAAATAAAACACCTTTTATTCATCATCTAATGTCAATTACACTTTACAAATTTCGAGGTTATCTAACTACTAAATCTAATATCATCCTTCAGCCCTATGCTCCGAGCATGCTGGAGATGCTTAACCCGAGTCAGTCCCTTCGTGAGGGGATCTGCTGGGTTCTCATCCGATGATACCCTCTTTGCCACGAGGAGTCCTTCTTCTATTCGATGTCTAATAAAATGGTATTTTCTGTCGATGTGTCTGGATCTCCCGTGATCCCTTGGTTCCTTGGCTAAGGCAACAGCTTTCACTATCACAGAAAATTTCCATTGGCTCTTTAATAGCTGGTACAACTCCAAGGTCTCCGATGAAGTTCTTTAGCCATATAGCCTCCTTTGCCGCCTCGCTCGCTGCAATATACTCTGATTCACAAGTAGAATCTGCCACTGTCTCTTGCTTGGAACTCTTCCAAGAAATTGCTCCTCCATTTAGGGTAAAGACCCAGCCTGACTGAGAGCGGAAATTATCCCTATCAGTCTGGAAGCTAGCATCACTATACCCTACAACTCTCAAGTCATCACTCCCACCGAGGGTAAGGACCCAGTCCTTAGTCCTTCGTAGGTACTTGAGAATATTCTTTACCGCAGTCCAGTGTGCCTTGCCAGGGTTCCCCTGAAACCTGCTAACCATGCTCAGGGCAAAGGCTACATCAGGTCGAGTACACGTCATAGCATACATGATCGATCCTACAGCCGAAGCATAAGGTATTCGACTCATTTCTGCTATCTCAGCCTCAGTGCTAGGGCTTTGTGTCTTACTCAATTTGGCGTTACTCTGGATGGGTAACTCTCCTTTCTTGGAGTCCTGCATGCTGAATCTTTCAGCACCTTATCCAAGTAGGTACTCTGACTAAGTCCAATTAGTCTTTTACTCCGATCTCTCAAGATCCTTATCCCTAAAATATAGGCAGCTTCACCAAGGTCCTTCATAGAGAAACACTTCCCAAGCCAGGACTTTACTTCCTGCAGGGTTGGAATGTCGTTTCCTATGAGTAGTATGTCATCCACATACAATACCAAAAAGCTAACTATACTCCCACTAGCCTTGACATACACACAAGATTCATCTTCACTCCTAGAAAAGCCAAATTCCTTGACCTTTTCATCAAAGCAAAGATTCCATCTGCGAGGTGCTTGCTTTAATCCATAATGGATTTCTCAAGCTTACACACTCTATTAGGGTACTCGTTGCTGACAAAACCCTCTGGATGACTCATGTAAACATCTTCAGCCAACTTTCCATTAAGGAAAGCGGTTTTGACATCCATTTGCCATATTTCATAGTCATGAAATGCAGCTATGGCTAACAGAACCCGAATAGACTTAATCTTGGCTACCGGAGAAAAGGTCTCATCATAATCCACTCCAGGAATTTGAGAGAAGCCCTTTGCAACCAGTCTAGCCTTATAAGTGTGTACTTTACCATCCATGTCGGTCTTCTTCTTGAAGACCCATTTGCACCCTACAGTCTTACGACCTGGTACATTCTCAACCAAGTTCCAAACTTGATTGTCATACATGGATTGTATCTCGCTATCCATAGCCTCTTTCCATTTAGCAGACTCGGGGCCTGCCATGGCTTCCTCGTAGCTGTTAGGGTCATCTTGACTTACTAGTGTCCCATCACTAATAAGTGTCTCACCTTCTGCAGTAATATGGAATCCATAGTAATGCTCAGGTGCACTCCTAACTCTCGTGGAACGTCTCAGAGGTACAGATTCGTCAATTGGCTCAACAGGAGTTTCCTCCTCAAGTTGAGGGCTAGAGTTTGAAGTTCCTTCACCACTTGACTCTTGAATTTCTTCAAGATCAATTTGCCTCCCACTGTCTCCTTGGCTTATAAACTCTCTTTCTCGAAAGACTCCTCTTCTTGCTACAAAGACCACATTGTCACTAGGTCTGTAGAAGAGGTAACCAAAGGATTGCTGTGGGTAGCCGATGAAAATACACCTCTCGCTTCGAGGTTCGAGCTTATCATGAGTCTCGCGTCTCACGAAAGCCTCGCAACCCCAAATCTTGATGTGGTCTAGTTTAGGTACTTTACCAGTCCACATCTCGTGAGGAGTTTTGGCAACTTTCTTTGTAGGGACTAGATTAAGATATGGGCGGCAGTCTCTAAGGCATACCCCCAGAATGAGATTGGTAGCGAAGCTCGACTCATCATGGAACGAACCATGTCTAACAAGGTTCGATTACGCCTCTCAGCCACACCATTCAACTGCGGTGTCCTGGGAGGTGTCAATTGTGAGACAATCCCACATTCCCTTAGATAGTCGAGGAACTCTGAACTAAGATACTCACCACCTCGATCGGATCGAAGCATCTTAATGTTCCTGCCCAATTGATTCTCGACTTCCTGTTTAAATTCCTTAAACTTCTCGAAAGTCTCTGACTTATGCTTGATTAAGTAGACATATCCATATCTACTGTAATCATCAGTAAAAGTCAAATAATAACGATTAGCATCCCTTGTGGCATGTTTGAATGGTCCACACACATCCGTGT